GCTACAGAAAAGGGCCGTTAGGCGAGCTGGGGCCACAGGAGGGAGCGAAGGGAAGCCCCGCTGGCGTCAGCGGTGGAGGGGGTCCCTCGCCTTTTTTTCCCCCGCTTTCATTTTCGCTCTGGAAATTAGAGCATTTTCTGCTCTTCATTCATTTCTCCTCCTAGTCATGCCCGACGCACGCCTCGCACAACGGGGGGGTTCTTCTTTTTCCTCCTTTAATCTCCATTTCGCGTCGGCAGAAACAAAAGTTTTCCTCTGGTACTGTATTTCCTTACAGGACGCGTTCAGGCGGCCTCCTTTCCCGCAGAGGGTTCTTCGATTTAAAAAAAGGCCGTCTGAACACGTCCTCAGAACTGACTGACTCGATGTTGCTCTTTCTGGTCTTTCATGGTCATACCATGTTGCCAAAACTAAGTAATAAAGACTTAATCGGCTGCTGCTAATAGTGATAAAATGGTAAAATAGTGTTGTTTTTTTAAAACAGGTTTTTTAAGCAGTAAGTGGGAGGTAGTCTCAGGAATGCGGTATTTATTGAATTTTAGAGATTTTTTTAAATGTTATCTAAATGTTTTTATTCACAAGTATTTAATTATTTTTAATAGAGAGTTTTAGAGTATTGTTTAAAACTGCAATTATGGTTTTAATTGTGAGTTGTTTTGGATCCCCTATAGCAGTGGTTCCCAACCTTGGGTCCTCAGATGTTCTTGGACTACAGCTAGTGCTGAAGGCTTCTGGGAGTTTTAGTTCAGGAATATCTGGGGACCCGAGATTGGGAACCTTTCATGGGGGGAAAATAACATATTAATAAATATATTAAATATAATAAATATATAATATATGTAAATTAATAAATTTCTGAAGTTATCTTAACTTTAGCTGGGCTTCATGTGTAAATTCGATTACACTTCTGGCTAGAAGTGCAGTTTTAGCAGGGAATACTTGTGCTCTTTATATGCAAGTAACATAGTTGATGAAACTTGTCATCTAAGTGCATGAATGTTACATTTCTATGTGGCTTTTCTTAGCATGGAAATATGTGATAGAAAAGTATTTTCCACTAGCAAAATTTCTAGGTATTGGCCTTTTCTTAAAGCTACAGTAAAGAAGCAACCAAAGAAGAAAAATTATCTGCTCCGTAAGCAGTCCTTTGGTAGTTATTTATACCCAGGTGCCACCTGTGTGCACCTTGATTCTGCCAGTACCAGCAGGATGTAAGAGGAACATAGCAAACATGAGACCTTTAAAACAAGGAACAGTGATATGTAACAACCAGGCGGGGAAGCACAAGAAGAAGAAGAAAAAGAATCCTCTGTGGGTTGATAAAAGCTACAATCTTATACACAGTTCTGTGTAATAGCATGGCTTGGATTTACTGAATAGAAAGCCTGACAAATACACAGTATGCAGTAGTAGCTAAAAGGACTTGGCAGATTGATGGAGAAAGCGAGACAGGCAGAATGCGCTTTGTGATTATTTCCATCCTGTAGTTGTATCATAACTTTGCAGATGGTGTAAAATGAAAATACACCCTATGACAGCAAAATCTATTTCCTTTGCCTCAAGGCCTGACATCCATCTGTCACTGCTCCTGGGTCTCTGTCTACTGGCCATTCCCAAGAATGTTGTCAGATTTATTCTACAACAGCGATGGCGAACCTTTGGCACGCGTGCCACAACTGGCACACGGAGCCCTTTCTGCCGGCACGCAAGCCATAAGTCGCCAGATCACTACTCAACCCCCCACGCAGCCAAACCTGAGAAGGTGGCTGCAGCTGTGGTGCTGGTGCTTCGGCAGGTGGATCTGGAGCAGCTGGTGCTGGAAGCAGATCCAGAGTGGGGGCTCGAGGCACCTCTGTGCCAGGATTCTCTCTTCCGCTGCCACTTCCGCTTCTGCTGCCGCTGCGGCATGCCGCCCGCTGTTTTTTTGGTTTTTTCCCCCAGTTTGGGCGCTTGAGCCCAAAACGTCCGCTGCCACTTCCGGTTCCGCCGCCGCTGCAGCATGCCGCCCACTGTTTTTTTTTGTTTTTTCCCCCCAGTTTGGGTGCGTGAGCCCCAAAAGTTTTGCCACCACTGTGTGCTCTACAAACATCTTGCTTCCACAGGGAAGCAATAGCACAGTTGTGTCAGTGTCACTGTCGAAGGGATTTCCTGCTTTTCGATCTTGTATTTACTTAATCTATCCAGTTTCAGACCCTGTGCTGTAATAATTCAACTCACTTTAAATTTATTCACTCCAAATATTTGCAAACTGGAGGTGTGTATTTGTGTAAAGGAAGTGCCTGGAGATTCCAGTCAGAATAGTATGTGTTTCAAAAAAAAGCTACACAGACTGGTTGTAAGAGACACAATGTGTAAGTTAAATAAACAAGACGAGCTGGTGGTGGGAAAGGAAATAGAAATGCTGCCCATATTTATTAGAATCCTGACTTTGAGTGAAGTGTCCTATCCGTAGCCTATATTACATCATCTTGTGTTGCTAATGAATTAGTCTGTTCTGTATCCCCAGCCACTTTTTGTGTTCTTCCTCTATTGTGTTGTTATTTATAGTAAACAACTGTTCAGAACTGCATATTCCAAACATGTCTATGGATTTTATGCCTTTCCTGGAAAAAATAATTGGACATCTAAGCAGATAGGACAAATCATGTTCTGAAACTATCTGTGATAGTTTGGGGGCCTCATTCTCTGCTACTTTATTCAGCTTATTAGCTTATCTTTAAAATAACATTTTAATTGGGGTTTGCCTTAGCCAGCTTTTTGAAATGGAGTGGACAGTTGGAGAACTGAAGGCTAAACTTAGAAGTTTTAATTTTTCTGTTTTATGTGGGGTTGGAAATTGAAAAGTTTCTCATAGCACTTTTAAGTTGCTTTCTGCCTGCCAAAGATGTAATACTGTATTAGTAAGTCGTATTTTCTTTTGGTGTAATTGTCTCTCTCTTTCCTCCTTCCATATACCCTGTAAGAGTTGAGAGGGTTTCCATGTTCTCCAAAACTAGTTTTGGGGATGCTTGGGATTGGATGCTGGCTACTGTTGCTTGACTGGCATATAGAATCATGAGCCCAAACTGAGATAGAAGTAGCCCTCAAAGGCATTTGTCAGGGTACATTGGTGCTGCTGTATGGCGTTCTCATGCCTCACATCAGTTTATGGGGAATCCCCACATTTTTAAAAAGTATTTGTTGCTGACATGTCGCCTTGTGGGCCTATCTGTTTTTTTTAGGAGTGTCCACTCCATTTGCAGGAATGAAGAGGTGTGATTGACAGGCCTCAGAGGAATTCAGGAAAGTCCTTGTATTCTCACTAACAATACTAAGTATTGTGGTTCATATTCTAAGATGCATTAATTGAGAACAAAATAAATGCTAGTGAGTAAAACTAAGACTTGCTGTGGTAGACTTTCTGGAGAGATGTTGGTTGTAACAGTTTTTCAATGGTAAAAGAAAAGGATTACTGTATAGCATAAGTTACAAAGCAATCACTTAACCATATGATAACACTTCAAGACCTGGGGCAGCAAGACACTTGAGAAGCTGTGCTGTAGGGTATAAATCCATTGACTACTGCAACTTCTAATAAATGGTACATTCGATCACTATATGTGAGCCATTTATAGACAGACTGAGCTTTATCTTTTTTCTGCTTATGGAAAACAGAATAAATGAGAGCGATCACAGCTTGAATGTGTTCTTATAACCTAAATTAATCCCCATTGTTGTTATGTACTGTCAAGTCACCTCCACCTTATGGCGACTCTATGAGCAGTCTCAAAGCCCTGCTCAGCTCTTGCAAACTCAAGTCTGTGGGTTCCTTTCAGAAGTCAGTCCATCTCATATTAGGTCTTCCTCTTTTCCTGCTACTTTCAGCCTCTCCCACTATTCTCTTTTCCAGAGAATCCTGTCTTCTCATGATGTGTCCGAAATAGGACAGCCTCAATTTCAACATTTTTGCCCCCAGAGTGATAATTTTCCATCTCATATTAGATCTTCCTCTTTTCCTGCTACTTTCAACCTCTCCCACTATTGTCTTTTCCAGAGAATCCTGTCTTCTCATGATGTGTCCGAAATAGGACAGCCTCAATTTCAACAGTTTTGCCCCCAGAGTGATAATTCAAGCTTGATTTGATCTATTTAATATTATTTGGAAATTAACTTCAAGACCAAAATGTCACTGTTAAGCATATGAACACAAATATGTGTAGTATCTTTAAGAGGTGACATAGCACTCCTGTGAGAGATATACATTATTTTAATTTCTAAGCACCTTTTCACTTCACAATCAGTTAGTTATTAAAAGCTCAATTTTGAGTAGCCATTGGTTTTTTAAGATGAAGTTGTTGGAAAGCCTGAGGACTCAGTGCACAGTATGTAACTTTATCAGCCCACTTAATTTTTCAGGTTGACATCACTCCAGGTTGTATACTTCTAATAATAACTTTCTCTGTTTCAGAATACCAGAGGGCTTGGATCCCAGCTGAAGGACAGTGTTCCAGTTCCTGATTTTTCAGTGAGTGGGGCATATGAAAGCCATGGTTTGATACATAGAGGGTAAGCAATATAAATCTATATAAATATAACTGTGAACATCCTAAATACCTGTAGCACCTCCAAGATTAACAAGTTTTATTTAGCAAAAACTTTCAAGATTGGCCGTTGGCATACTGGACCTTTTGTTTTTCCATTTAGGCTTCCGTCTTTTATCCTCCCCACCATTGTATAAATGTCTGTCTACTGAGGCTATACTCCATGCATCTGAAGAAGATAACTCTAGTCTGCAAAAGCTAATACTGTACTGAATAAAATTCCTTCCTCTTAAAGGTGCCACCGAATTCTTTGTTGTTTTTCCTTTATTGCTTTTACTTCAACGGACTAACTCTTCTGTCTCCTTTAAAAATTATTATTATTATTATTTTGGCATTGAGTTTTCTCTGTAAATATTTGGGGCAAAAATTTGAAATGCTACTTGGTTCTTTCTTTTTGAAATGTTATTTTCCTTCTGCCTAACTGGTGGAGATGGTATTAGGATAGCTGGCCCAATAATTACTTGGACGAGGTAGCGCCGCCCCAGCCATTCTGCCACAATGTTACCTGTCTTGGATATCTGATGTTTAGGCAGGCAGCATAAGTATATCTGCAGTATAACTGATGCTTATATTGGATTTAGGGGCAAACAGCCCTGACCAAACCATCTCCACTATTTCCTTCCATCTGTCTTAGATCAGGAGCAAACAATGCATAGTCCTCTAGGTACTGTTGGACTGCATCTTATATCACCCCTAACCAGCATAATCAGCAATAAGGGATGACAGGAATTACAGTTCAGCAACACTGAGCTTGGATGGCATGGGGCAGGGAAATGGACCTTTCTGGTCCAGCATCTTTGCATCTGGGATTTCAAAAGGGAGAGAATCCAGTGTTGTGGACTGTGCACTTCTCTTAAATTGAATACTAAAACCTGGGTCCCTCCAAGGGTTTGTGTCAGTCTCCAGAGTGCTTCCTGCTTGCTTGAAGCATAGGAGCCAATTCAACCTCTTGAACTAAGTGGAAAGTTCTTTGTCTTCCTTCCTGTAGCAGGAGACAGAGTTATAGTTTCTCAGCACCCTGCCTCGTAGAATGAACGGAGCGTGCAAGTGTTCACATTTCCATATAGTGAGAACAAGCTGAACTACGTTTGGCCTATTCTGTTCCCTCCCCCCATTAGCTGCTGGCAGAATTATTTTTATAGACATTGCCTCATGAGTTTACGATGGTTTTTTGCCTAGCTAGTGGTGGTAGCATTGGACACACACAGCACTTTTGTTTGTAAGCTTTGGGACTGTTCCCATCATCATGGATTTGCGATTTAAAAAATATATTAAGAACGAATTAACTCTTGAGTTCCTCTTGAAATGGCAATAAACAAGCATTGTCTGGGGATGATGAGGATTGTAATCTTAACACATCTGAAGGGTACCAGTTTGGAAAAGACTGAGGTAGTCTATCCAGGTGTAGTGGATAGAGTGGTAGATTATGATCCTGGAGAATAGGGTTTGAATCTCCTTGTGACAATGCAAACTCCCTGGGGGAGTAAGACTGGTATAAATATCTCACTTACCTTAAAAGCCCTATTAGGGTCTCTATAAGTTTCTTATGACTTGACAGCATAAAACACACCATCTACCAGCTAGCAAATCAACATGATGGAATGACCAGTAATATCAATTAACACAGTTATTAATATCAGCTGCTGGTGAAGGCTTCTGAGAATTGCAATCCAAAAATACCTGGGTTACCCAAATTTGGGAACCACTGAGGTAGAGGAAAGGCTGGTGCATGGGCAAGCTGTCCTTCAGGGATAGTGTCCTTTTCCCTCTTATTCCTTTCCTGACTGAAGTTGGATGTCATCATGACTATTTTGAGCTTGATTATGGTACTTGTAAACAATGATGTTGTGTTGCATAAACCAGTCTCCCTGGTTCTTCAGGCAATTTTCCCCCTTTTGCACTCATTTTACCCTCATTAATAAGAAGTAGTAGCCTCTACTTTTTTGTTTCTAATAATGTAACTGAAGTATTTTCATTTTCTGCATTTTACGTGTTTTATGATTGTTGGGTCTTGTCTGCTGTTTTGGTGGTCACAATCAGAGGTTAAGAAATATTTCATATGGTGCAATAAATCAGAAATGCTTAGCATACTGCAGCATTTGAAAGCCTTCCATATTCTGCTTTTTCCAATAGTTCCTTGTGTTAACATCCATGATTCTGTTACATCCAGAATATCCAAAAATATGTAGCATCCGACAATGCGTATTCTCAAAATGAACTCTTAATTGTTTATTGCATATTATTGCTTAATTTCAAAGAAGCTGCCCTGTATCATCTCTGTTATGGTGTTTATTATATGGCTGTGTGTTGTCTTTAAGAATAAGAATAAGTTTCTTTTAATTGATGTTGGAAGCTGGCTAGAGACTCTTGCAGAGTGCGGGCAGCATACAACTCGAATGGATGAATAAATAAACAGACAAACAAACAAAACTTAAAGGAGCTAAGAATTGTCAGTGCAGATAAAGCCAAAAGCTCTGAAACATTAGAAACGTAGATCAAGGGAATATGTATATATAAAAAGAGTAGATGATCTTATTGAGAAACAAACTAACTTCATCACTTCCTGGAATATGATTCAAAACAATTATATACTGTGTAGGTGAACTAATGGAGTGTGTTATAAAAAAATTCATTTCTTTTTGCATTTTTTTTAAATGTAGAAGTAGAAATGTAATTAAATTAATGACGTAATGTTCCATGGCCTGATTCTGTTTGTTTGTATTTATAGTTTTGGAAATGTGAAGAGTGAACTTTTTCCTGTTCATCCTTTGGAACTATCAGAGAAAAATGTAAGTACAGAGCTTACACTCCTTACAGGTGAAGATCTTTCTCTTCAGGAAGGCTTTCCCTTAGTAACTGGCTAACGGGTTTTAAAACTGAGGTGTTTAGTTTTTAGAAATGCTTTTATTTAACATTTTAAACATGTTTATTTAATTATGTTTTAATATCTGAATAATTCATTGTTTTAGCTATCTTTTTTAATGATGTAGCCCACATTGGATCCTTGAATGGAGAAAGGTGGTGTAAAATATTTTAAATAATAAATAAGCAATGCTGTTTATTCTCCCAAACACCAACTACAAGCACTGCAATTAGTGATTGTTCTTTTGGATTTTTTAGACCTCTACTACCAGAATTTGTTCAGAATTCCCCTAGGTAGAACTTTGGGCGATGCTGCCAAAAACAAGTTTACAGAGCAACTTTCATACCTGCATGTAGGTCTCTGTTGCTGTTATTCAACTTTGAAGAAAGCCCTGGTGAGGGCTAAGAGCAGCAGGTTTCTATGGGAGTGGCAAGGGGTCGTAGGCCAAGTAGTTTTGCTGCCCATTAGGCTCTCTAAAAAAGCAAAGTGTGCTGCTTATATACTGCCCCATAGCACTTATAAACTCTCTGAGTGGTTTATAATTTAATTATGTAAGCTACACATGCCCTGCCTCCCCCAGCAAGTTGGGGTACTCAGTTTACCAATTATGGAAGGATGGAAGGCTGAGTGACCCTTGAAGCTGGGAAGATGCAAGGTCCAGTTTATGGCCCCCACTCTCAACCTAGTAGTTCAGAGTATTTTACAGAGAACGGAAGACACATGCATACCTAATATAATTGAGGGCGCCAGAAAGGTAGCAGGCTACTTTCATTGTCAACCTACACTGCTTATGCCTAGAACCTGGATCTGTAGAAAAACTTATTTTCCTTAAGGTCAACCACTGCTACACTTCTCTGATGTTCCTTTTAAATAAGAGAGAATGGCGCGCACTGTTCACAGTACTAGGTATGTCATGCTTTAGTCTGCTGGCTTTTTAATTGACTAATTTTTTGCTTTATTTCACTCAGTAAGTTTGCCAGCTTTCAGTCATGCAAACAAAACATTAGATATGTCAAATGACTTGAGAGAGATTGCATTGGTTTGACTGTCTTTTACTTTTACCACTAGGTGGAGTCAAATGTTTTGCGGGGCTTGCCAAGCCCATCCAAATCTGTGGTAGTGAGTGGCAATGGGTACTTAAAAATTCCATATAGGGAAGGTCATTGTTCTTTTGTATTTGTCCTTAAATGGCGAAATAAAGGTGCCAGATCTAAAGTTAATAAATTTGGTTTATGTGTGCCAGTATAAATATTTTAAGAAGCAGAGTTGTATTTTTCTTACTGTTATAAAAAAATAATCATGTTCTTAACATTTTGGTAGTTTCCATTAAACCAAGATAAGATAAATTTTTCTACCCTGAGAAACATTCAAGGACTACATGCACCACTGAAATTGCAGATGGAATTCAAAGCAGTGAAACAGGTATGGTTCTTAATCTGTTTTGAGCAACTTAAATTTTCTTTGCTTCAACTTAAGCTTTTAAAAACTTAAGCTACCCTGTGCTGCATAAGACTTATGCCCAAGGGATCTACATGTCTGGGTCTGTGTCCTGGACAGAATGGATTAAAGTCAATGATTTCTTTTAACATAAATTGATTTAAGTTTTTAAAAATTATTTTTTTATTTAAATAAAAACATCTAATTTTAAATTTTAAATTGTGTAATTTAAATCAAATACACTTTGGTCCTGGAACTCACAGAACAGCCTGCTCAAGTTTTTAAAACTAAAGGTCATGTTGTTCTTTAAAGCAGTGGTTCTCAAATGGGGGTCCCCAGATGTTCTTGGACTACAGTTCCAAGAAGCTTCACCACTTGCTGTGCTGGCCAGGATTTCTGGGAGTTACAGTCCAAGAACATCTTTAATGCATCAGTTCATTTTATGTTCAGTCTTCCTGTTCTCCTGCTGCTTTAAACTTTTCCCAGCATTGTTTTTCTTTTTAGTGATTCTTGTAAGTAAGTTTGAGTTGAGTCATTTTCGTTTCTAGTGAGAGGTGATTGACTTGATTAAAGACAATTTATTTGTCATTCTGGCAGTCTATGGTGTGCATAAAACTCCTATATATATAGGTGGATTAAGTCAGAATTTCCTGACTTCTTGTGCTGTCGTCTAGGTCCAGCGTCTTCCTTTTCTGCATAGCTCTAACCTGTCACTGGATATCTTGAAAGGAAACTCTGACTGCATTGGTTTTGAAGATATTCTGAATGGTAAGAATTTTCCAAAAATTGGGGAGAAGTCAAATATTTTAAAGTTGCAAGGAAAAGACTAATCATCCATTTACTGGCTGAATTATTTCAGTATCTTTGAAGATGATCTGAAAGCTTCAGCTGATGCAGCAACAATGCTGCTTACTGTGACTGGTTGTTTTAAACATGTCAACCAGTGTTGCATTAGCTGCACTGGTTTCTAACAAGTCCATGCAACGATTAAGTGTTGTTGCTGAACTTTTAAGCCCTAAGCATGACATGGACAGCCTACCACTTTCTCCCGTATCTTCCTTTCTGTTTATTAAGATCATTCACAGAAGCTGCTACCCAAAGTGGCTACTAAAGGTAGAGCCCTTTTTGTAGTGACAAATGTCTTTACTCTTCAGATGCCTACAATCTGTACAGTAGGCATGCAGTCTTTAATTTCTTCTTTTTTAAAAAAAAATAAACTGATCACTAGCATTTTAATATTTTAATGCCGATATCAGCTGTAATAATTTTGATTTGTTTTCTTTTTTTGTTTAGGAGTTTTATGATGAATCCTGAGGGCACTTCCTAGTTGGGCACTATATAAGTTTAATAAATAAATCTAGCTTCAGGGTTGCAGAAGGCACTTCCCCAGAACAGTCTTGTGTGCTGTGCAAGTGTTATGCAGCCATGTTGCTGGGATCAGCAATGGCATTGCCCTCTTGTTTTGTCTGTGAACTTCTCATAACCTTTGGCTGGGTGCGGTGGCAAAACAAGATAACCAGATTATATAAGCCACGTGCTGAAAACAAATTTAGAGTTATGGGCCACGTTGCCCTTGAGATGAGTTGGGTAGGTTGAATGATGGCCAGGCATCCCTTTTATATAAACAGGTTATTAGTGACGCCCTTGTCAGTTGTTGGGAGCAGTAAATAACAAGTCTTGTGCTGCACTTAAGCCCTTGTCAGTTGTTGGGAGCAGTAAATAAGTCTTGTGCTGCACTTAATTAAATGCATCTTGCATTATGTTATGTTTCCGTTCAAAGTCACATTGAATTACTAAAATGCTGAATGTTTCTCTTTTCCAGACCCAGCACAAAGTGAAGTAATGGGAGATCCTCATCTAATGGTTGAACACAAACTTGGTTTATTATAATATCCAACTTTCTGTTTCTAATAATGTTACTTGGCCGTGTATTCAAGTAAACATATTAAATGGCAGTCATGCTTGTTTTGATAAATTGTCTCTTACTTACCTTGATTTAAATGCTTGAAGTATATGACTTCTGTTTAGAGATGGGCACAAACAACCGGTTCAGCAGTTCGTGCTGGTTCATTTACTGCCACAGCAGGTGTTTGGTGGTTCAGTGGCCTGCCCACTCTGACTTGCACCCACTCAAAAGCAGCACCTGGAGGAGACAGGGCAGGAAAGCCAGGATGCTGTTTCTGAGTGGGCACCTGCTGGAAGGGGCATGGCACTGACCTGCCAAACACCTGTTGCTGCGGTAAATGAACCAGCATGACTTGATGAACTTCTGATTCATGTCCATCTCTACTTACGTTCTTTGTTTAAATATAAATGTGTCAATGTAACTGTCTTGTCATTGGGTATTTAAAAATATCAGGAAATACATTCTGTATTCAGGGCTGTAGCTGTTTGACGTCGGCAACTGTAGAAGATGGCACATTAAAACATCTATGGAACAACTTTAAAAATAGAGATAATAGGTTGAATCTTCTTGTAAAATAACCTGTTGCAGTTGATGTGCCAGGAATTTGCTGTTGAACCTTTGTTTTTGATGACTTGACATGACATCTTTTAAATGACAAATAAAATTTTCTATGAATGCTACAACTCTTCAAAATGTTTAACTGATCTCTCTGAAATCCCCTTTATCAAATGACTTGTTCAGTTGTCCATCTATAGAATTCCTGTTAATGCTGTTTATTTTGTTCAGGCAAAAGTTACACTGGTATTAGGGGATACATTCCTCTGCTGCTTTTGCAGATGGCAACCAGATTGCTAGCTATTTTACATTGTTCATAACATTACCTCCCCAGTTATTCACTAAATGTGCATATGGTGATGATGTAAATGCTGAAGTACTATCATTCATTCCATTCCTTCTCCCACACACAAGGTGCAAATGGTATACCAGACAGAGTAGGGTGCACACGCCTGTTGGTGTAGAATATGGTTCTATATGTCAAGCCAAGCCAGTGGAGACGTAGCTGCTAGTAGGCATTTGCAGAATAGAAAAACAATTTGACAGTAGGTATCACAGGGTGTAACAGAAGGAGGCACAAACACTACAACAGGTTAAAACTTTGCTGCATCCTCATCCTGATGCGAAGGGGATGCTGTAGAGTAACAGAAGGAGGCACAAACACTACAACAGCAGGTTAAAACAACTTTGCTGCATCCTCATCCTGATGCTAAGGGGATGCTGTAGAGTGTAGACACAGGTCAGATCACTACTTCAGTGGAAGTCATGGTAAAAAATTTTGCCATGAGATAGGAAGTCCTTGTTCAAGCAAAATGGCAGGGGCAATTGGGCTTTGATGCACGGCCACCACTTCATACACCCCTTACCATTTATGTTCATTATGGTTCTTACAGTACCTCATCAGTTTCTGTGATTTATCATTTGTGATATACTTTTGCCTACTCAAAGTACTTTAGGTACTTTAGCAAGTACTTTAGGTATCTGATATGGTGATCAGAAGGACTCAAGAGTGGAGCAAGGCTGGTTTGATCCCCACTCTGCCATTGAGAGGCCAGTAACTTGGTGTCTGTGCAAAGTGCTGGTTTATAGAATTTATGTTCTGAATTCTTCATCAGTGACATTCAGTTATGGGAACAGGCTGATAGTGTCCCATGCTGTATCAAAACAGGAATCATGTACCCCACCCCCTGCTGATATACCACAGAGAGTTAGGTGGAATCATATCTTCTATGAAAGCAGAACACTCACCTTTAGATTCCATTGGACCCACATTTAATTACAGTTGCTATATTCTGCATAATTTGGTGGTGTCAGCAAGATTAGAGCAAATCCCAAGAATGGAAACTTACTTCTGATTTTTCCCATACCCATAATTTGGTGGTGTCAGCAAGATTAGAGAAAATCCCAAGAATGGAAAACATTTTACTTCTGATTTTTCCCATACTCCTGTACATTTTCTCTTTAATGTTCTTTCTAATAGTACAGTACTTTTGATGCCTTTTCAGTCCATGGTTTGAAGTGTACCTTTGCTGCCATCTCTTTGGCAGACAACACAGTCTCTGTCTCTTAGTTACAATTGGATGAATATCCTTCTCACTACAGTATTATTGTAAGAAAAGCAGCAAGGAAGAGGACCAGTATTCATACAGGGTGACTTTTTGACCCTTTGATTCTTCCACAATAAGGAAAAGTCACAATCTTTTTCCCTTCAAAAGAGTAAGCAGTTTATTAAACATGAATGTTTTGGCTGTCAGGTTTTCTTTGTTTGTGACAATAGCTATGGATGGACAATAGCTATGAAGTAAGGTGAAGAAGATATATATAAAATTGATGGCTATAAACTTCATGGTGTGTGTATATATAGATGGTATGTGTATATAGATATAGATATAGATATATATCCTTCACCTTACTTCATGGCTATACATGGCATAGGAAGAGAAAGTCACAAAAAAAGAGAACACTAAATACTGGAGGATAATTGTTCGTGGATAATGTGGTTCATCAATTTTAAGCCAATCCTTTGTTGAATTGCTTCTTCACCACATGGAAATTTGAGCCAGGGAACTCTGTTATGTTCAATTGTCTACAAAATCACACTGTAGTGAGCAAACTCGTTTCTGTAAGGCAGGGATGTGTAACTTTGGTGGTCTTGGGTTCTACATTTTTGACACCAGATCCTGGTGCTAGCTGCACAAGAAATGACCAATTTTGGCCATGAAAAAAGGAGAACTATGAAGTTCTTAGATGGGCACTCTGGTTTAATTTTTGGATAGTGGTGGATCTAAATGGACACACAACCCCTCACATCCCAGTGCAAAAAGTCCCATTCTTGGGATCCTTCAGGAGGGGAAATTTAGCCTTATTTTAAGGGGGAAAGTTTTCTTAATGGAGTTCCTCAAGTTGCTTTGAAAGTTGCAAAATTGCCCTTTGGAGGCTGACTGCAGTCCATGAGGATTATGTTGCCTTCCCCTCCTTTTAAGGAAATAAATCACTGTATCTTCAGAAGTAGGAACCTTGTTACTGAACAGTGGTACAATCTTAAATAATTCTATGTATCATGAGTTATTCTTAAATGAATAGTAAGGGTTTTTGTTTTAGTAACCTAAAAATTCTATGTATCATGAGTTATTCTTAAATGTAAGGGTTTTTGTTTTAGTAACCTAAAGAGTATGTTCTCAGAGTGAATGATAGTAAAGAAAAGGAGCATCTAGGAATATTTCCAGGGGAGTATTTTTGATACTCTTGCAGCAACCAATAGCAATAAGAAACTACCCACTAGACTAAATAGACTAAACTTAGAAGCCGATTACTATGTCTTTAGCTTCAATGGAAGAAACTTATCAGATAGAATGAAGGAGATGAGATGATAAGGCTCCTGCCCCACAATTGGTGCAATGCAAGAGAAGACAAGATGTAGTCTTCCAGCTGATGTTGGATGGCATTTCTCACCCTTAGCCAAGGCTTTCAAGAGTTGCAGTCCAAAAATACTAGCCAGGAAGTTGCTGCAGTTTGCCCAGCCCCTAGGTAATACGAAGAAAGAGAGACTAGAACAATTGTTTGAGGATGCAGTGGTTAAACTGCAGTTCTGCAGCCAAGACTCTGCTTGTGCAGCTATAATCTCTCACTCGGGACTCAAGAACCCCCAAAATAACTGGGGGAGAGATACTGCACAGATAAACTATAGGGGAAAATGTTCCCCATCTCCTCTCCTGACTGCAGTTAAGCTTCATTTAAAAAACCCAGCTGGGAACTTTTATGCATTTCCTATGAACATCTAGTTTGACCCACAGTAAGTGTATAAACTGGGGGGACTGGGGAGGGTACATGGGATTTTTATCAAGTCTCCTAAAGTATTTCCATGAAATTACCTCAATGCACAAAGGGACCAGAAAACAGTAAGTGGTATGAGGGAAAAATAATGTTCCAGAAGTTTAGCTATAGATAAGAACATCTCATCAAGTGCTCCTAAAATCATTTAATGAGACCCACTGACCTATAACAACACATACTTGCATTATACAGCCCATAAACCAAAGTGACAGAAGCTGTTTTACAATCTCAGTGCCTAATATTAATTTGCTCTGTGACTGCAACAGGGCTGTCCATACAGCTGTGCTGTGCCAGGTGGCAGTGAGTACCTGCTTCCCAGCCACACAGAGAAAGTTAATGATTTACATATTTGCAAAGTAGCTGGGGACATAAAAGTGCCATGTAAATGCAAAAATTATGTTTTCCAGCACGTTAACAGTAACCCAATTTAGCTGCACAGCTTTGGATAGTCATGTGCATGCAGAGGAATTCTTTAAAAAAAAATTCATACGAAACGATACAGAAAAATGGTTTTTTTTGTTTTTTTTCAATTTTTATTTGTTTGTTTTGCCAGCTCCAGAAATGAAAGGATGAATCAAATGGCAATTCAATACACTCCCTGATCTCATTTGTTTGGAGCCTAAGAGGCACAACGAACCACAGAAGCAGCCACAGCTTCTCTGTTAACAGCAACAACACTGTTCTTATAAAAACACTTCTTATAAAACTATACAAAATACAAAAGCCACAACCAGCAGAACTAAAGGCATGTACAATGCTATCTTTTGTATCATTAAGGAGAAGTACAACCCTCTTAAATTAAGTTCACTCATGATCATGTGGGTTTAGGATTACAAATTTCAATTTTAGAAGAGGTATCTCTGTTAGTCTGTGCTAGCATGTCAGGCAAAAACATAACAAAAATAAAAAAGAAAGCTGACAAAAATGTTGTGGCACCTGAAAGACTAACTGCTATGTTTTAATGTGAGCTTTCATGGACAAGTCCACTTCTTCAGACAATGCCTTAAGGTGCCACAACGTGTCTGTCTTCTTAATTTTTCTATTTTTTTTTCCTTGATGAACAAATTTCAATTATACAGTCCAAGTTGATTTAAATTCACTTTAATCCTGTGTTAAACTGTAGCCACAAGGAAGACATAGGATATTCTCAGCAGTGTAGGCTGCAAAGATTCAAAATGCTTGTTTTGAAATGCATGGCTGCATCTTTGTCTATTTAGAACCTCCCCTCTGATTAATCTAGTCTGAAAAAAAATCACTGAAATTCAGTAATTTAGTATATCCATTTGTAAACAAAATACAAAAGTACATTTAAGGTTTGTTTGTGTTTTTTTTAAAAAAAGACTGTTTTACTTACTGAGGAAAATCCTGTTGCATAGATTTATGCCAGTGTAACCCAGATCAAGCAATGGAAATATTTAAACCAATATATCTTATGGTCCCCTCCCTCTTGGGTTTGGGGAATTCCTAGGGCCCCTTTTGCCTGGTGAAAGCCTTTGGGAGCCTTAGGATGTGGAGGTGGGTAGGCAAAAAGTAAAATATTGCTGGCAAGAGCTGGATATTTTTTTAACTATTAAAAGCTCCCACCCCACAATCCCGAAGTTCCCAAAGGCTTCCCCAGGATAAAAGCTCTAGAGAGAGCAGGAACCTGAATTGAATCAGAGGTTTGTGGGTAGGAAACCTTAAATGAGTTTAAATATTTCCAGCACACCCAATCCAGGTTACACGGGCATAAATTTACATCAACAGGATTTTGCTCCCTGGGTAATTTAAAAAAATGAAACTATTTGCATACTAGGGCTTATTTTCAGGTTAGGTCTTATTTTCAGGGGTAAAGGGTACTAAGGTTGTTTACATGGACATTATTGTATTAAAATCATTGTGGCAATCCATCTTTCTTCTCTAAAGGTAGTCCTATGCAAACTAATCGAAAACAGTGTTTCAGACCTTATTTGATAAAAAAGGTATATTTTTTTCCTTTTCTTAAAAACAAAGAATTTATATTAATGTCTTATAAAACTCCACTGTTCTAGTATTAAAGAGGAAGAACACTTTTCTCAAACTTCTTTTAAATTTGTTGTTTTCTCTATGCTTCAGTCACTCTCTGCTTCGCAAACAGTACGTATGCCATCAGATACCTTACAATGCAATATTAACACATTAACACCCTTATTTATGAGCTGCTGCTGTAACGCAGCAGGGAACTGGTTCCAGTGCTGATCTCCTAACTGATTCAGCACTGGTAACATCCTATTGCACTATGATAGTAGGAGAACCATGCCAGCCTTACGATTCTTCTTTCCACTTCTTTGTACATTGTCCTTCATATCTATCCAGGCCAACAGCCAATTTGGATACCAAGAAGTTGATTCTGGTAGAGAGCTAATAATTAAGAGATCAGATCATGTTTTTAACGTTGGTGCTGCAATCATGAGGTTACGATATTGCAGAAAAGCAGTTCAGCTGTCAGCCTGCTCTTCAGAAGCGTCCTCTTCATTTACAAATTGCACAAAATTCTCCTCATGCCAAGTGGTAAACATAAGCCAGCTGGGAGAAAGAGATAAGATGTCATTAACTGAAAACAAGGAATATGCAGTATGTTCAGTCAACAGAAAATGTATAGAAGTCACAAAGCTATTGCACACTACTAAGGAAGGGGCCTAGAAGTCGATATGGTGGTGACAATACCTCCTCCATGCAATTTAAAATTGATCACACCAATCTTAGGAAAAATCTATCCATCACATCTTTTTCAGTCTAAGAGCAAAAGACATTTGAGACATTTTAAGAACAGTGATGGTGCTTTGAAAACATTTCTCTCTAAGCCCCTTCTTTGAGAGTTTTGAAAAGTTTTGGGGCTGTTTCAGTGTGTGCTGGAGGGAAAAAACATCTATGAAGGTTCCTATTGGTAAAAACATCACATTAGCAACAACCGGGCGAGCCCTGACATCAGCTAGAGTGTGCTGTATTTGACTTTCCCTAATATTGAATGGGCTCCTTCTCTTGTACACTTTCAGATCTGCATACAAACAATAAAATACTAACGAAGCAGAATGCTAATTTTCGATGTGCAGATACAAAAAAAAGGCTTAACTTTTGGAAACAAACTGCCTTAAATTAAGAAATCTTTGGAGACATTGCCTATTGCACCTCAAGTCACATGTCTGAGCATGCAACAAATAATGCCTATGATGCTTAATGATGTTCTAATTTGCAGCAGTTGCTCCCAAAAATTATGCCTTTTCTGCAACCACGCAACAAGATTTCAGCCAATATAGCCACAATCCTGAACATCTTAAAGCCCAAATATTTATTTATTTATTTATTTATTTATTTATTTGATTTTTACCTCGCCCCTCTAGACCACGTCTACTCTTTTTTCAATATCTGAAAAAGATTCCTCCCACTGAAATATACCCATACATTCATATCATTATGGGCAGTCCCTCTCTGTGTGCCACTTAATATTTTCAAAGTTTGATATATTTTTAGGCTGATTGAAATGTCTTACTTTTACTGTTTTATATGCTGATGTTGGGTTGTCTTATTAATAATGAGTATTTGATTTTTTTAGGTACACTAAATTCTCTTTGAGATGAAAACAGAGTATACAATTTTTCCAATAAACTGCAGTTGAGCATATGGAGAACCACAACGGCCCTGTTCTACCCCCATCATTGCTAAGTATTATGTTACATACTGGTGTCCATAATGTACAGACATCACAGCTCAGGAATGTTACTTTTTAAACTATGACTCTTGAATCCCTCAGCCAACATAAGCAATATAAATTGAGCTATACTGACAGATCATACTTCTGCACTATTAAAGAGCAGGCCGGGTAGGTGGGGCTCGTCAGCCATGGAAGGCAGCCCTTCTAGAAGAAGGAAAACTCCGATTTCAAACCTCCACTGCCTTGTGGCTATATCCACTCATGGAAAAAACTTCAGGACTTAACCTAGAGGCAAAATCTGGAGCTGGAGTCCCAAAGGCAGTTCGTGCCGTTCTGCCAACTCCTGCGACGTTGCTGGAACCAGCTATATTGGCTCTTTCCTTTCCACTGGACCATTTCAGCAACATGGAGAGGAAGGATCTGGTGCTTAAGTAACAGCCTATCCTCCATATTACCTTACCCGCGCTTCATGCTCTGGAGAGGACCCTCCTCGATTCAGAGCATGTTACCATAGTCTCTCGAGACTGAAGAATGCCTATGGACTTACACAGAAACAAGCGTAACACCTCTAACATCTCCACATATGAGTTGAAAACACAGTTTACAAACTTTTACCTCAATCCATATTGTTCCTGTTGCCTGGGAGATTCTGGCAGTTCGAAAAAGTACTTTTCCCAGTCCTGACTGATTTTATTTATTTATTTATATTTATTTATTGGACTTATATACCGCCCCATAGCGCTACAAGCACTCTCCGGGCGGTTTACAATTTTTAATTATACAGGCTACACATTGCCCCCCCAGCAAGCTGGGTACTCATTTTACCGACCTCGGAAGGATGGAAGGCTGAGTCAACCTTGAGCTGGCTACCTGGGATTTGAACCCCAGGTCGTGAGCACAGTTTTAGCTGCAGTACAGCGTTTTAACCACTGTGCCACGAGGCTCTTACCACGAGGCTCTTTTGATAAACATGACTGAGAACCATCCTAGCATTAAAAGATAAGCTTGTCCTAAGGATATGTCATCAGAGGTTATGTACTTCCTGGCTTGATGCTTCTGGTACAGTTGCCAATATTGGCAACACTCCACATGTATGTAAAAAACACTGTTTACAATTTTTTAGCTCAATCCACATTTCCAAAGCCAAAAGCTGCTGTCACCACACAATATGAGGTAGTAGGGAGAGTGTCAGAGTAATTCTGGAGAGCCCTGAATTCATACCTTCATTCAACTGCAGACACTACTAGGTTATCTTGGGGAGGTTGTTATCTCTCAGCCTAACCTATCTCACAGGATTGTTTTGTGATAAAAATGGGGAGAAAGACCATGAAAAACACTATGCATTCCCTGGAGGAACATCAGGATATAAAGTAACAAATACAGTGGTGCCTTGCATAGCGACGATAATCGGTGCAGCAAAAATCGCTGCAAAGCGATTTCGTTGCTATGCGATATTAAAAAGCCCATAGGAATGCATTAAAACCCCTTCAATGCATTCCTATGGGCTTCAGACTCACCTTTAAACGGAAATCCTCCATACGGCGGCCATTTTCGCTGCCCGGTATGCGAGGAATCCGTCCCAGAAAACAGCTGGCGGCCCTTTTTTTCACCCAGTGGCCATTTTGGAACAGCCAATCAGCTGTTGGAAAAGCATCGCTATGCGATGATCAGTAAGCGAAACAGCGAAACGATCATTGCAAAGCGATTTTTTCCCATAGGGAACATCTCAATGTGATCACTTTTGCAATCGCAAAAAGTTAATCGCTATGCGATTTCTTCGTTAAACGGGGCGCCCGTTAAGCGAGGCACCATGCAGTTCTGCAGTTCAAGGGAATCGATGGCATTGTTCTGATCTACACAGATGCAGAACAAGAGCAGGGGCACAGTAATACGTATTGGAGTGTATGATATATTGCACTGGTGTTATATGATTATTATTGTTGTTGTTTAGGTATCTACAAATGCACGTAGGGATAGTTAAACTGATTATTTCAGAAACAACAGGTATTTGTTGCAGCAGATGGGTAGGAAAAAAGTTATTATTTCAGCTAACATCAACCTTGAATACAGACATTTCTCCATGTAAAGTTTACATTGTAAATTGATGTCATTTGGCATTACTTATTACATGTTTTCTGAACTGTACGCACCTCAGCAAGCCCAGTGGAACTATACAGAAACCAGCTGAAAAGAGGAAGGTGAAGCCTGGAAACCAAGCAACAGTGGCTGCATACAAACTGTTAAAAACAGCAATTGCAATAGTCCCGGTCACGACCTCTAAACAGGCAATGCAAGCAAATATAGCACCTGTCAAATAAAAGAAATTGATAATTACACTATATTTATTCTCAAATCCCATACAGCTAGGCATGGATACACTACTACAACGCCAATATAATGTGGTTACACTTAGAAGGCATTTCTTCATTGGTTGAGCAACCCTTAGACTCTTCTATCTAGTATTGTTTGGATCGGATAGCACACCAAAGTAGCTAAGCTACTGAACCCACTGACTGCCCCAGGATGGGGGCACACAGAGAGTTACCTTGCTGTACCCTCTTTAAGCCAGTGAGATGGCCAGACTTTGGCTAGCCACTTTCTACTTCACACTCGTTGTAAGAATAGCATGGAAATAATAATTTAGAAACAAGTAATTAAAATAAGGGGACGTGGTGGCGATGCGGGCTAAACCGCAGAAGCCTCTGTGCTGCAGGGTCAGAAGACCAAGCAGTCGTAAGATCAAATCCATGCGACGGAGTGAGCGCCCGTCGCTTGTCCCAGCTCCCGCCAACCTAGCGGTTCGGAAGCATGCAAATGCGAGTAGATCAATAGGGACCACCTCGGTGGGAAGGTAACAGCGTTCCGTGTCTAAGTCGCACTGGTCATGTGACCACGGAAGATTGTCTTCAGACAAAAACGCTGGCTCTATGGCTTGGAAACGGGGATGAGCACCGCCCCCTAGAGTTGAACACGACTGGACAAAAATTGTCAAGGGGAACCTTTACCTTTACCTAATTAAAATAATAATTGGTTCCCGTCAAGTCAATTCCAACTTATGGAACTGACTTGACGGGTTTTCTAGGTAGAGACTACACAGAAGTAATTTATCATTCCCTTTTTCTAGGGGTGCCATGGGACTGTGCAATTTGCCCAAGGTCACACAGGCTGGCTCATCTCCCAGGATGCACCATGGAGAACTGAATTCCAAACCTCTGGCTCTACAGCTGGATACCTAAACCACTGAGTAATCCAGCCAGTTTACTTCGAATTAATTCTCTCTTTTTTTGCAACAACTAAGATATAACTAAGAGTCTCACAGACTCTTAATAACTAAGAGTTTTTCTTTGGTGTAAAGTTTTGTTGGTGCACTTCTTTAGGTGGCACCAAAGAAGTGGGCCACAACCTTTGAAGGCTTGTCAATCTTTAATGTGCCACAACATCTGTATGATGTTAGACTTGTTGTGCTTAGCACAGTACTCCTTTATTTGCATTTCTAATCAAAATGTTTCAATTAATACTGAAAACAACAAAAACAAAGGCAGCCAAGAAAAGGATGAACAGGCAAATTTATTTCTTAATTATATCCTGCAGATTTTGGTAAAGATTTTTAAAAGAGAATCTTTCACAAATGGCAGAGAAATAGATTTTTTAAAAACACACCAAAAAACACCATGTCCTAGATGTTATCTCTGTGCTTTGTCAAGACCAAGCAATATTAAGTGGTAGAGTAGGGAGATAAGGAAGCATTCTACGTGGAAAAGTTGCTAGCTATGGAATGTTGGATTAACTAATTTTTTCACATACAGTAGTTCTTAAGAACACATAAATATATATGACACCATAATTATCTAGTCTTATAGTTATCAGGACACGGATAAGTGAGGCCAAGCTACTTTTATCTCAGTATCACCACTGTGTGCCAGGAATGGGACACCAAACAATGCTTCTGAAAGGTGCTTCAAGCCAGATGTCATCTAAGTAGTGACAGAAATTTATGTATAAGTCCTCTTCCCACCCAGTGTTCCAGTGGTGAGAGGGAGCCAAAGACCAAGGGAGCTAATCTTCTATTTACAAGGGAACTAATTTGGTTTCACTATGCAATTATTAGTTTGTGGGAGAAGTAATAATGAAAACTCCATCAAACGTTGCCTTATTCCTTTTGCAATTTCCCACAGGATAACAGTAACTGATGGCAATATCAACTCACCTTGCTCATGAGGAAGAACAACTTTGGACAACATGGACCGAAGAACTGGAATGGGTACAAAAACTAGCATTGATGGCACTCGTGCTGCAAAACATTTGAAAAGTGAGAGATAGTTATATTCTGCAATACAGTACAGTGGTGCCTTGCATTACGACGTTAATTCGTTCCAGCGGAATCGCTGTAGAACGAAAACGTCGTAATGCGAAAATAAAAAGGCCATTGAAACGCATTGAAACCCCTTCAATGCGTTCCAATGGGCTGGAAACTCACCGTCCAGCGAAGATCCTCCATAGGGCGGCCATTTTTGGTGCCTGTGCAGCGATGAAACACCGGGGAGCCATTTTATTTACCCGGTGGCCATTTTGAAACCGCCGATCAGCTGGAGGAAAATCATCGTTTTGCGAAGAATCGGTTCCCGAAGCAGGGAATCAATCATCGCAAAGCAAAAAAACCCCATTCAGACTATTGTTTTGCGATCGCAATTGCGATCGCAAAAAGATCATCGTAATGCGGTTTCGTCCTAATGCGGGGCAATTGTAAAGCGAGGCACCACTGTATAGCTTCGTATGTTTCAAAGGCCAAGGGAAGCAGTAAATCAGCAGCCAAAATAGCAGCAGTTGCAGCGGCAGCAGTTACCACCAAGAGGCACTTTCAGAAACCGTACTACAGCATGTTCCTCAAATGAATGAGAGGGAAGGAGGATTATGTCTGTCAGCCATACTCCCAGACAGCTTGAATAGTGGTTTCAAATAAGACACTGAAGTGAGAGCCAGTCTGGAAATTGGGCTTAGAGGCCGGACTGGGACTTTGAAGATCAAGGCTCTAGTCCTCCACACAGTCATGAAATTCAGTGAACCATAATGGGCCAGTCTCTTAGGATGCCACTTTGTGCTACTTGGAAGGAGGCTAAACAGAAAAGGAGATGTCGTAACATTTGAAGTATTTCTATCAAAATGTGTCTAAAATGTCTTAAAGCATCCATTAAAAGTAAGCTTTGAAAAGTACAACTGGAAAGCATTTCTCACTATAGCTGTAAAATTACTTTGCTCCTGCTCGTTGTTATTTTGGAGATATATATTTTTACTATACCTTTTTTTCTGCCCTGAGAGCTAACCAGTTACACATAATTATATTACTTGTAACTTGTAGTTTCCAAGCTTTCCTTTTAATGTGTTAAGTTAAGCTGCTGCAAATGTGCTTGTTGGTCAGATGGGTAGAGAATTATTCTGAAAAGAGGGATACAGGGTAGGTCAGGGTTGGCACTCACATGCAGGACCCTTGTGTATGCATGTAGGCCTGCCTTCAAACCATAGTTAGGTACAGAGCTGACCAACAGCATGACCAGCAAGAGAAGGTCTTGACAGACCCAAGATTATTATAACCCGAAACTCCAGAGGGGACCCAACTTTGTCAATTTCATTTTGTACCACATATCTTTCAGACACAGATGAAAAGATTACTGTGGGTGTATAGCCATGTGGTTAACTTTGCTACATGTACACAGAGTGCCAAGCTGCTTTGCTGGAAAAGCAACATTAAAACCATAAATTCATAACTACATAACTAGATGGTAATTATAACTACTGTACATGAATGGACAGAGGTTCATAACGACATAACATTCATAACTATAGCAATTCATTCCCCATTTGTAGTTACATTTTAAAGCAATACAGATTTTACATGGACGTCGTTCTCCATTAAAATTCACTGTTTCTTAACAAACCTCCCCCCATGGTGTAGGTGAAGCGAGGTGGAACAATAACACCACCACACCTAGCAGCAACCTAGATAAGGAATGGTTCATGCATATTAATGTTGCTCAGAGGCAGAGCCGAGATGCTATAAGAGGTGAGCCTGAGTGAGTCAGTGAGATAGAGTTAGTTAGAGAAATGTAAGAGTCAGGCATTCTATTACATAGTAATAGAACGCGTAGTTTGGGAAATTTAGATGTGATTAGCTACTGAAGATATTTATGAATCTCTGTAACCAATAAACCAAAGTTATATTTAAAAGAACTTGAAGTGTGGACCTGAATCTATCTGAAGTAATGGTGATTTAGAGATCACTTGGTGGCAGCAAGTGTAAAAGAAGCGAGTGTCTGCCTTCGTGTGCTCTGAGCCTTGAAGGTCAAGCAAAGGGGCACAAGGGTGGACACCACAGTAATACCAAGAGTTTTTAAAGTACTGTACTGTATTACAGTTTGCTTCACCTTCCTGTGCTGCCTTAATGCGTGGCGAGTGCTACAGCTATGCGAAGCAGATCATTTACTGGCACCAAACTGTGAAGTTCTCTTAAAAGAAAGATATCCTTGCCCTGATTTCTGCTGGCATGCTTCTGAATGCCAAGTTAAAATTGCCTTGTATTAACTGGACATTTGGGGTTTTCTTATATCAATTATTGCCTTTGATCATCCTAGTACAGTATTTCATTGCTGCTTAAACAGCCTTGTACATCCTAACAGAGAGAAGGTTGGGTCCGCTCACAAATGAAGAAGCATGGCATCTCAGCAGCAGTCATCCTAGAATGTCTGCAGCCGTTTCTGTCTTGCACGGGTGCCAGGATCGGGTGTGGGAACAACAGCAAAGAGGTTTGGGCTCATGAACAAAACTCATGCACTGCAGGTGGAAGATGCTAGGTTCAGAATCCAATACCTCCAGCTAAATGATTAACAGATGTCAGGAAAGATCTCGGCCTGAAACAGTAGTTGTGGGAGCCAATGCCATCTAGCACATACACACTGTGCTAGATGGACAAATATTCTTCAGAGGGAGGTAAAAAACTCTTTTTCTTAATTCTCTGAAACCCACCTGCCTTTTCTTTCTGTCCTTGCTTTCCTATTGATTTCAAGACTTTGCTTTTTCTCCCTATGCAGAAAATTCTATTGTGGTATATACACACTTTCCAAACCATTTTTTTACATATTTTCCCAAATGTACCATTTATTTATTTATTTTGTAAACTCCAAATGCAAAAGTTTATTTTAAAATAACCTCATTGCCAAAATCCCATTGTTCATCCAATGGGACTAGACCAGTAGTTTCCAACCTTGGGTAGTCTAGGCGTTCTCAGTTCCCAGAAACTGCAGTCCAAGAACACTTGGGTTACCCAAGAATGGGAACCATTGCTCTCAACTAATAGAATCAATTGCTAAAGGATGAGGCAACGCTTATATAAAACCCATTGATTCAGTGGGCCCATTCTAGTTGGAACTAGTAACTGGATTTAGATCTTAGTAAATGTGAATTACTTTCCATTCTTACTCAAGATTAATCAGCATCATATGCTGTTCTTCCAAGAGGCACAGAACATTGTATTACTTATAACATTGGGCACCATTTTTTTTAAAAAACTTGTTACATTTTGGTTTTTTTCTGGTCTGTAAGTCAAATCTCAGTCTGTAAGTCAAACCTAAATTTTGCGGCCAGAGAAGTCTGTAACTCAAAAAGTCTGTAAGTCAAGCAGTCTGTATGTCAAGGGTCCACTGTACTTATAACATTGGGCACCATTTTTTAAAAAAAATCATTGACATTGATAGCATTTTCACCACCACTTCAAAACTGTACTAGCCCAGCACCAAACTCACCTAAGAACATCAGCAACGTAGTGGTGGCAAAGGCAGTCATAACCATTCCTCCGATGAAAGAGAAGATCCCGATGAATACAAGGTAAATATCTCTCAAGCAGCGAGAAAGTAAAACTACTCCAAGAAAACCGGTCAGAGAGGTTGAAGTGCTTACTGCTGAACCATATCCAATATAAATCGCATCCCAGCAAAGAGGAGCATTCAGCTCATAGAGCGTGTAAAGAGAGAACCCTCCAAACACTAGGAACAGATAGGCCATGAATGTGCACAGCAACAATACGATGGAAATTCGCTTCTCACAGGAGGAGGATTTGAAGAGTACGTATACTCCAGAAAAGGTTTCTTTAAAGCCGTCCCTTAGAGATCGTGGCCGGAACTCCGACACCCTCACTGTCTCATCCAACCAACAGGTAGTATAGGAAATGTTGACTATGTGAAGCAGTGAAACGGCTATAAATGTCCACTCAAAACCTATTCCTTTCAAAATGAAGCCCGAGGCCAGTCCTCCCAATCCGGACATGAGGCCCAAGATCAAGTCGACCACAGCAATTCGGATGGTCTTCTGTTTCTGAGTCTCACAGAGGTCAACAACAAAAGAAAAGGCACCTCCGAAGAAGGTTGCCATACCTCCAAAGATGCCACTGATTAAGGCCAAAGGAAGCAACAAAACCAGGGGCAGAGAGTAAAAGGACATGAGGCTGTAGAAGATGCTGCATACCAGACTGCCCACCAGAGGAAGAACCAAGGATATTTTGCGTCCACAGCGTTCCCCATTTGCTACAAGGACAAAAGCCATCAAAATGCTAGGAATTGCTCCACTGAGGTCTACTTTCATGGCAAATAACGAAGCATTTTCTTGGACTCTCTGAAAGAAGACATGGACAAAAGGGAAATAAAGTCAATAATCACTGTAGCTTTATATAATCATTTAAAATTATTTTGCCTCAATATTTGCAGTTCTTCTTTATAATATGCATTCATACATAATGCAAACAGCATACAGAAATACCACGACACATCCTAGAGCAGACAACCGACTTAATCTGTTACATCTAGTACCGAAAGAGAGCCTTGTGAAACCTCTAAGGCTCAACAGATGTCTTGAAGCCTAGACTTCAAGGACTGGAGCCCATTTCCCTCACAAATGGCAGCATAGAGGAAAACAGGAAGTTGCCTTCTGCAGAGTTGGACCACAGACCTATCTGGCCAGTACTGTCAACAGTGGTGGCCAGCAGCTAGCTGCCTTTTACCAATTGTAAATATGGTCCTGAGATGTTCAAATGGGTTTTGATTTGTGTATTTTTAGTTAAAGGTGGTCTTTAGCTAGTGATGGGATTTACTGTACTGTAGAAAAGGAAACGAACAATGTTTGAAGATGTCGAGGGCTGGGACCTGGGAGCTACTGCTTAGAAAGAACCACCTTAATCACTGAACTATGGCCCTTTTCCAAGTAGGAATATCTGTATCTATATAATATATCATCATTTCATAGAATCAATTGAGTTGGAAGGGCTTATAAGGCCATCAAGTCCACGCCCTCTGAACAATGCAGAAATCCAATTCAAAGCAGATCTGACAGATGGTTGTTCAATTTCCTCTTCAATGCCTCCAGCACTAGAGCATTCAACACCTCGGGAGGCAATTGGTTCCATTGTCATACTGCTCTAACAGTTAAGAAGTTTTTCCTGATATTCAGCCTAAATCTGGCTCCCTGTACCTTCAGCCCATTATGTACGTATTTTATTCATTTTTATTTATTTAATTATTTATTTTAAATATTTGCACCCTCTCTCTTTACCTTAAAAAGAACTCAAGACAGCTCAAATTATATTTATTATACTCATACAAACTGGAATAAGAAGAAACAAAAGCAATGTATTGAAAGGCAAAGAAATGCAATGAGTAGACTCTAAAACATTTCTAAGAAAAGCTCAGATGCACAAAGTATGCATAAAGACTACACATAAGCAAAGTGAGCATGAAGATTTATGTATTATTTGGCACAAAAATAACAAAGACCAAGCATCTTACATCATGACCCCACTTTCAATTCCATTATGTATCCTCCTATACCTCTATTGTACATTAGTACCATCAGTGTTGGTCTCTGGAGCACTGATTCAGACGCCATTTAGCAAAATATTTGACAGGTTTAGCTGGTTTTGAAAAGTGCTTCATTTTACCAAAACTAGCAAAAGTCTGCCAGCTTTACAATAGCTGAAAATTTACCCCTTCAGGGTTAATCCAAAAATAAATTCCACTCTAGAGCATGACTACACAACAATATACATAAACAAAAAAAAACCCACAGAAATATATAAACCTCTGGAATATCAATTTAAAAGGAGAGAAATGAAAAAGTCATTGACTTAAATAAGGATGGAATTAAGAAGCAAAATTCTTGGGGCAAAGCAAGAAGCCTAGAAGAAAGCAGTGATAGCAATCTCCATAATTAAAGAAAGCAACCACCCTACTAAAGCAGAAAACCTGCCCTGCATATTAACCGGTGTTTTGGTGTAATGTTTCCCAGATTCACCATAAAGATATTTGTTCAGGCAGACCAAAAATCAGGAAGCACTATACTTCGCTCTAATGAATTCTGAGCTTTTCTTTAATTAAACACGAATCCAACCATAATACACCGCAAAAGATTTTTAAACACAAATGTCACACAGACTGCATCAGCCTCTTATGCTGTAACTTTAATCTACTAGGAAACAGAACCTGGATGAGGGATTAACCCTAACCTCAGTCATGTCCCCAAAACAGTAAGTGATGAAGCCTTATCTAGATTTACATTTACATGCAACATATGTTTCTTTGGACATGACCATTTCAATTGTCTATTTCCTCATCACATCTCATAGATTCTTCTCTGAAAAAGTTAATCCAGAATATTACAGTCTGAGCTACAGAGTGCAATGAACTGATATGATAGGGCATACCCCCCCCCCTTGCTTGGCCCATGTGCCACTGGAGCCATCGGATGCTGGACTGCAACTGCTATGGATCTTAGTTAGCAGAGGCAGCGGTGAAAAAATCAGGGGCATTTCAGGTCAAAAACTTCTGAATGATTGTGCGTTTCCCACCCTTGATTAGATATTGCACTCTACACTGGGCAATAAGACTTACTCCTTCGAACATGTTTGGTAGAAAGACCTGTGTGTTCTGGGAGCTGTAATCCACAAACAAAGTTCCAAAGCTCTTAAAAGATCACACTAACCTGAACGGGACGTATTTCTGGGTAGCCATGTCTAGCATTATAGAGCTACTTTCTCTGGACAGTCACCAGTAAGAAATTTGACCTTACCTTTTGCTTCAAGAAAGTTGGATCACTTTGGTTCCATTCACAATACGAAACATTGTCATCATCTACAAAGGTAGAGTTGACCATCTCTTCCCAGTACCTTCTGTATACATATTGCTGCACCAAGGGTGAGGTCAAAGAACTAGCAAACATATATGCGGAGATGACAGGTTCCACCACAAATGTCTTCTTCATGCTTGAAAGTTTCAATTCTGATTCAGAGAAAAAAAAGGGATATAGTTCTTTTCCCAAAGGAAGTTCCAATCTCTCATTAAAAGGCTGCAAAATGGATTTTATATCCTACAACAATGTGACTGAATTCATGTTGTTTAATGTAAAGCATTGAGCACTTAAAGCACTTTCTGGGTGATTTATAATTTAATTATAGTACATGTTGCCCACCTGCCCACCCCAGCAAACTGGGTAGTCAATTTATCAACCTCAAAAGGATGGAAGACTGAGTCATCCTAAAGCTAGCTACCTGAATCCACTGTGACTGAATGCAGATCTTGAGCAGTTTGGGCTGCAGTACTGCAGTTTAACATCTGTGCCACAAGGCCTGTGGAAAAGGGATATCCATCCATGGATTTGATAGCACTTGTAGTAGGCTTGGAAAAAGCTTGGTTCATCCAGAGCAGCCATTATTAGTGGGGGCCGCATGGCCCCCTGAGGGCCCTGATGCATTTGAAAGGGGCCACAGATTGGAAACAATGCTTCACATACCACCTTATAAGGTTTGTTATGCGATTTATACAATCCTGATTCAGCCTATATTTCTGTCATATTGTGTTTATGGCCATGGCCAAAAAAAGAATGGCTGATCTATAGTACTGTGCAGTATCTATATGAACTGATTTTTCTTGCCTTTGTAAGATCAAGAACAAAAGGAAAGTTACTGGCATTTGACTTGTATGGGGCAATGCTATATGAAATCAAGGGAATACAGTGCCATATGAAATCAAGGGAATTTTGATGACAACATATACCATGAAATGCTCTGGGAAAGTCTAGATCAAAGTGACAATTGGAAAGTTCCATTTGAAAAAGGAGAAATGGATGCATTTGTAAGACATAATCAAGTGCCTTATAAAAATATGTCTTTCGGTTGTTCTGGGTTTTTCGGGCTTTTTAGCCGTGTTCTGAAGGTTGTTCTTCCCGACGTTTCGCCAGTCTCTGTGGCCGGCATCTTCAGAGGACAGCAACCTGTACACCTGTAAAATATGTTGATTTCTATGTCTTTGTCCTGTGTTGAACTAGGTACCTTGTGCCACTGAATACATGCTGCATATTAAATGAAATGCTCCTATAACAAAATGAAATAATTCCTATGAAGAACAATATTTGTTGATTTTTACTAAAATATTATTGATAGGCCTATTGAGTCAGCAAGGATTTGGTGAGTGAACACTTCCATGAGTTTCACTGTGTCAAGTGAGCCTACCTTAGTACATTCATCACATTGCAAGTATAGTGGACCCATTTGAATCAACTGAACGTACAGAGGTTTTGATTGATTCAGTGGGCCTACTCAACTACAACTTACTAAGCTAAGCAACAGAATTTTGGTCAATGTGTGAAGCAGTTCTAAAAGCGCAACAACACTGACAAACAATGCTCCCAATTGTGATGGTCTGATTCATATTATTTTCCATTCACTACATGATGTACAAATCAGTGTGAATCAGCCTCCATATTCTCACCCCAATTTTTTCTTCTGCTGTTAGGGCTTCTACTTTTTTTCTCAATCATATGCATCAGTTCAGACAACAGGCGACCAGAAACCAGCTCTCTCAACTTCCTAGTTCAAGGGGGAGGGGGGGAGGAAGCAAAGGGGCACACACAGGAGTATCATTATCCCTCAACCGAATAACCCTTGTCTCCAAAAACTTTTTTAAGGCTTAGAGCAAACTGTGCTAGGGCAGTTGGAGACTAATGGGGGGGGGGGGGAAGAGTAAGGAGTCAGCAAAGACCAAGGAGAAAACTTGTTAAGCTAATTCTTTGGAGCTTGTTCACGTAGTTCTGATGTAGTGTCCCTCCTGCAAAACTACAACATACTGCAGAGCTACCATGACAAGCCCCCACTCTCCTAACTCCTGTGTGATTGGCTAAAGTGAATTCACTCTGGGAAACCCAACTTTCAGAGTTCAGTTTCATAGTTTGGTAAGCTTATATCAACTGCATTTTTTTTGCAAAAAAAACCCCCTCAGTTTTTGGTACCAGGAAAATAGGAAAGGAGGGATGTATGGAACTAAAGCTATGCACACATTCCTTGGCAATTAAAGCACCCTAGTATTTCTCTCTCCACCCCCACCCCATGCAATAAGAGGCTTTTACGGAGTTAAGCAGTTACAAACATATAGGGCAGATTGCACCACACAAAATTAACCAAGGCTTGGAATGTTTTTGTTGTTGTTTTTCCCATTACAACTTCCAAAATCCCTTACATAGTAGAGCTATTTGGAAGATCATAAGAATTATAATCCACTTTTCCAAGGCCTAAAATACCCCTATGCTAAAGATGTGCCAAACCAAAGATTCATTAGGACAATTTAGAAATGCCTATAACGATTTCCTGCATGTAAACAGCACTTGCACTCAAAAACATGTTTAAAACCCACATGTACTTTATTTCTGAAATGTATTTTATTATTCTTAGCTGTTTTGAGTGCCTTTGCTGGCAGGAAATAAATTAGGGTATAAATTAAACCAATACCCAAATAATAAAGAGATGTAAGGAAATGTAAGGTTTTGAATTTGTAACTCACTTTATGAATATGAAGAACCAGAAAGCCCTACTACACGGTTGAGAAATGTTTTCAGTATTTCTCATTCTGTTTGCCAAAGCAACCAGATAGAAGTCATAACCTGGTTATGATGGCTTTATAAGTTTTTATGACTCTTTCAGTTAGAAAACATGGAGGGAAGGAAGCATAAGAGGAAACACATAGAGTACAGTCATTCACCGGTGTGTGTGTGTGTGTGTGGACACAATCTGTTTCTTTGATGATGACGATGGCCAAATTAGAAGCCGAATTTCAAGGATTCCGGGTGTCACAAACATTGTGGATCCCTTGCCGAGATACATTGCTGGTGCTGGTAGTTGGATTATGTTTGAGAGGGATTGGTGCAGGGGACAAACTTTAGGCCTGACTTAATGTGTCTTCATGTTTCTCTTCATGCAGCTCAAAGATTTATTTCAGGATACAAAGCCGTCTTGTTCCTTAGCTCAGCCGTTACAGGTTTGGTATGATTACTCCCAAGACGAATGAGGGAAAGAAAGAACGAAACTTACCAACACTGGGTCTAGAAAACTGAGTGTTGAATCATACCAAAGAGGTGGAGTGTTCCTGTGGGCAAAGAATATGTTTTATAGCCAAAGCCTTTTTTGCAGAGTACAAACTCCAGGTCTTTCACATTGCTATGCAAAACTACAGTGCTTTTTCAAAAAAGTTCCTTTCAGGACAGGAACTCTGGCAAATATCTGAATATACACTCTCTTGGAGGAGGAGAGAACATCCTCTTACAGTTCAGAGACCAATACTGCTGACTCAGTACCAGCCTTCCCCTGCAGCAAACATACAGACCAACATAAAAAAACTACGCACATTTAAAATTAAAGCTTGGTCAGCTTTATACAAGCAGAATCTCCCAGGGAAAAAAGACCTGTGAATTAGTTATAAACAGCTTCTTACAAACAGGCATAACATAACTGAGACACAACATGCCCTCCCTTTTCAGCTGATCCACAACAGCCTGTTCCACAACCCAGAAAATACATGAAAACAATTATCTTTTGAGCCACAAGTTGCCACTGTGAAGCCAAGCTGGAACTGCCCCTTGTAACCTCACTGGGGTTTGGCTCCAGATGCCAACAATCCCCATCCTCAACCTGGTGTCCTTCCCTGTAAATTGGACTACAACTTCCGTCAGCCCCCAGCAAGCATGGCCATTGGTTTGGGAAATTCTGTATCTATCTGCAAAGCTGAAAATAACCCCCCAAAAAGGGTCGACTGTACCTTGAAAACTGATATATTTCAGTGTGCATTCTCATGGATTATAATTCACTTCCTTATGCAGGTGGAGTAGGACATTTAAAGCAAGTTCTGCCACCCACTTTCAACAACCTTTAAGGAGCCAACTGTGGATGATACGAAGCCAACAACAACAAAAGGTCAACTTTCTTGGGCAGCAATTTCGGGCAGGGACGGCATTCCTTTAGCCTGCTGCCAGCACAAATCCCAAAGAGTTTTGCGACACCCTGGAAGTAACAAGCACACCTTTTTTTGGCAAGACCTTTCGGGGGACCTTGCTTTCACATAGCCCTGTTCTTACGTAGCCTACATATTCCTCACACCTAGGCTTACCTTGAAAGGGGTCGCTATAGACATGGTCTAGAGGGGCGGGGTATAAATTTAATAAATAAATAAGTAAATAATAAATATAAGTAGGCTCCGACTTTGACAGGACGCAACAACAACGTAACCAGGCTCACATCAACAGCCACGAATTCAGCCCGAGACGTCTATCTATCTATCTATCTATCTATCTATCTATCTATCTATCTATCTATCTATCTATCTATCTATCTATCTATCTATCTATCTATCTATTTATTTATTTATTTAAATTTAGGAACAAAGGAAAATGCAAGGGGGCAATCTTCATGTGCTTCCCCGGCATGTGCGCCAATTCAGCGCTTCTCCTCCAGTTTTTTAGCTGCGCAAAGAGGGCCAACTCCGGGCGCGCTGTCCAGCACCTGCCTCCCCCCGCCGGTGTAGCCCCCGCTCCCTCCTCCGCTTACCTCCCGCTTCGAAGCAACTCCCGCCCCGGCGCTCACTCCTCCATTTCCTCCTCTCTTGTGTCTAAGCGGTGCCCCGGGGTCCCTGTCATCGCACGGAGAGAAGCCCCGCCTCCTCCCGGCCGCGTATTTTTGTGGTTCCCGGAGAGCGGCGAATCCTCGGCCGGTGCCTCGCCATTGGGTGCTCGCTGGTGGGAGCCTAAGTAAAAGAGGGCGGGGATTACTCTGCGGAGCTGTCACTCACTGCACGTGAGCCCGCCTCCCCAGGAGAAGAGCTCCGGCGAATTTTGGCCGGCGTGGAGCGGCGCTTGTCTCGCGCGCATGCTCAGTTTTTCTCCCGTAGGGCTGAGCGGTTCGGGAAGCGAGTGGGCAAAAGGTTTGGGGTCTCCTCCGTCCGATGTGCCGTTGCTCCCGCTATGTAGACTTTGGCGGTGGGAGGGAAGCTCACTAATTTGCTAATTGGGAGTGGGGCGGGAGCGCTCCATTGGATGACCTGTGCTTTCCACGTCGGTGGATGTAGAGTCTCCGCTGCTTCTACTCAAGAGTTTGGAAAAGCGAAATTGTCTCTTTATCCCCGAAGCTAAAATATCCTAGCCAGCCTGGCCATGGTGGCTGTATAGTTTTTTTATTAAGAAAAAGTAACGTTTACAAGCTTCTTCGCATCCCTTCCTTTAAAGTTAACCCGCGAGGGAGGAGAGATCTTGGTGCCTCTGCTTTAACTGAAGGTGCCTTGATTGAGTTAAGGGTGGCCATACGAACTAGTACAGTAGTAGGGAATGTTACTTTTCTTTCTTTTTGGTTTACACCTCCCACAGGACTCTATCCATGAGGCCTGAGACATTTGAGAAGTTGTAGTCCTCAAAAAGTAACTTCCAAACTTTGATTAGAAATATCCTTATAGGTAAGGAATGGGACCCTTTTGGCCTACAA